GCTTCCAGGTTCAAGCGATTCTTGTGCCTCAGCCTCCTGACTAGTTGGGACTACAGGTGTGCAACACCACACCCAGCTAATTTTTGTACTTTTAGTAGAGATGGGGTTTCACCAATGTTGGCCAGCCTGCTCTTGAACTTCTGACCTCAAGTGATCTGCCCACCTCGGCCTTCCAAAGTGGTGGGATTACAGGGGTGAGCACCTGCGCCCTGCATACTACAGTTATTTTATCAAGTGTCCTTTTTCTCTTCTTCTTCATCAATTTGTTGTTAAATTCAATGGTTATTTTCATGTCTCCAGCCTCTTCAACTTCTTAGCAGCATTCCACCCTTGACCACTGAAGGTCAGTGACAGCCTTCTTGAAACACCGTTCTCTCATAAACAACATAATCCCCTAATCTCCTGGAAGTGTTCTTATGCTAAAGTGTTCCTTGCTGGCTCATGGGGCAGGTGCTGGGTTTGCTTCTTGTTGCTGTCTACACAGTATTCCTAAGTAAGCTTATGGGCTCCCATGACTTTAAAGACCATTTCAATCAGTGGTTTTGGTTTTCAGATTGTAGTCTCTGGATCAGAAGTGTGATACCAGCATCACCTGGAAACTAATTCTAAATGCAAATGATCAGGTCCAGGCTTAAGGAATCAGAAATGGCCTGGGCTGTGTGTGTGTGTTGGGGGGGCGGGGGGCGCGCAGGGAATGACCACGACTATCAATTACTGTTTTCATAAGCTTGCTGGAATCTTCTGAGGCACACTGAAGTTTGAAAGCCTTGGATCTAAATTAGTGTTTTTCATAATGCAGGTTGTGACTTGTTTGTTAGTCATAAAATATACTGAGTTGCAACCAATGTTTAAAAACATGAAATAGGATAAAATAAAAAAGAATAAAATTCACACATTATAAAGGTAAGTAATATTTCATAAAACTTTTGTTTCAATTATACATGCATGTTCCTGTGTGTGTTCCTCTATTCTGGTTAAGTAAAGTGTATTTTACTGTGGGTCACAGTCTCAGGCTCAAAAAAGCCCTCATCTATATGATGACTATATGAGCCAGATCTTTGCAGTGTGGTTCCTTCTTCATTTAGGTTTCATTTTGGAGACAGAGTCTCACTCTGTCATTCGGCCTGGAATGCAGTGGCGTGATTTCGGCTCACTGAAGCTTCTACCTCGCAGGCTCAAGCGATCCTCTCACCTCAGCCTTCCAAGTGGGTGGGACTACAGATGCTCACCACCACACCCAGTTAATTTCTTGTAACTTTTGTAGAGATAGGTTTTGCCATATTGCCCAGGCTGGTCTTGAACTCAAGTGATCCCCCTGCCTTAGCCTCCCAAAGTGCTGGGATCACAGGCGTGAGCCACGGTACCCAGCCTATTTGGGCCTTTCTTAACCATTCCACTTAATAACATCTTCTCCAATGCACTTATTCTCATGCTACCATGTTTTGTTTTTATTTTTTATTTTTGTTTTAAAATTTATTTTTAACATAATTTTTAAATTTTATTATTTTATTTCATTCAGAGACCTTATCACTATTTAAACTATCTGATTGTTTATAATCTTTCTCCCTACCAGAATCTAAGCTAATGAGAGCAATGGCCATGTTCCCTTCCATATTCTCAACACCTATAACAGTGTCTCCCCACGCATAACATCCAACTCAATAAACACTTCTTATCTGAATAAACTTTATAATTAAGTAACTAGTAAAGCCAGCTCTTAACATGCTTTAGACTAGTGTGTGATGGCTCACGCCTATAATCCCAGCACTTTGGGAAGGATAGTATGAGCCCAGGAGTCTGAGACCAGCTGGGCAAAATAGCAAGATTCCATCTCTACAAAAAAATTAAAAAATTAGGCTGAGCGTGGTAGCTCACGCCCATAATCCCAGCACTTTGGGAGGTCAAAGTGGGTGGATCACCTGAGGTCAGGAGTTTGAGACCACCCTGACCAACATGGAGAAGAAGCCCTGTCTCCAATAAAAATACAAAATTAGTGGTGGCACATTCCTATAATCCTAGCTACTCGGGAGGCTGAGGCAGGAGAATCGCTTGAACCTGGGAGGCTGAGGATGCAGTGAGCCGAGATGGTGCTGCTGCACTCCAGCCTGGGCAACAAGAGTGAAACTCTGTCTCCAAAAAAAAAAAAAAAAATTAGCCAGGCCTGGTGGCACACACTTGTGGTATCAGCTACTTGGGAAACTGAGGTTTCAGTGAGCCATGATTGTGCCACTGCACTCCAGTCTGGGTGACAGAGCAAGACCCCATCTCGAAAAACCCCCAAAAACCATGTGTATCTCATCCCTGGATCTCTCTAATAAAATCAGCACTTCCCTGTATGCCGACAGCTTACATTGCAGCCATCTGCTGCAGAATCATGGTCCTTGGGAAAGTTACAGAGCCATACTTTCATCACTGTAAAAACAAAGGCTTAGTCTTCGGACAAGAATCTGATAAAACAGCAACCCAAAATACTTTTAGTTTAGAACAGATGAGCAGAGTGTTCATTTAATATGAGTCAAGGAACAAAGAAAAACCCATAGGATCTATTTCAAAAGGAAATACTGGAAGGCCAGAGGCTTCAGGTTCACGTGCATTTCAAATGTGAATTATCTAACAAATACCTCCATACAGTTCAAACTCTTCTGGAGAAGGTTAACAGTAAATTTAATAGGGTATAAAATGGGGATGGTACACTGGGAAGGAAAAAATTAGGAAGCAAAATGAATGAAGAGAAAAGTAATATACACAGCCAAAATAGGTCTGCTGGAGAATCTATGAAATGTATAATATTATAGCTCAAGAATGGCTCAATATTAGAAGTCTTTTTCTGCATTTGAAGTAAATTAGTGTCCTTCTTGACCCCACTGCTGCCATGTATATGTGCCTGTGCAAATGAGCTTGTAACTTTGGGGAGGACACTGCTGAGTCTGCCTATTTTAGGCATAGAAGTGATATTTAAGAGAGAGCCCCAAATCACTCTGTACCTATTTTTTTTTAAGAGATGGGATTTCATCACGTTGGTCAGGCTAGTCTTGAACTCCTGACCTCACGTAAGCTGTCTGCCTCAGCCTCCCAAAGTGCTGGAATTACAGGCGTGGGCCACTGTGCCCAGCTCTACCTATTTCTGCAATCATAATGAGTTTTAAGTAACAGCAAGTGTCGATCATGTTACAGGTTCTGGAGTAAGAGTACATGGGTTTGAACCCCATTTCTACTATTTGTTAGCTGTCTAACTTTAGACACATTCTTTAATTTCTCTGAGCTTTTATTTGTATAATTAGAACCTCACAAAATTAGTATGTTGACTGAGTTAATAACACACATAAAGGCTTTAAAACAATGACTGGTACATGGTAAACCAGAGCATTTAGTAGGTATCACATTGCCTGTACTAAGCTCTTCAAAAGCTTTTTCTCCTCTAATTGTTGCAACAATACTAGGAGGCAGGTTATAAGATATTCGCTCACCCCCACATAGATAAGCAAGTGTGAACCATGAAGAAGTTAAATAACTTGTCCAAAAACTCACAACTAGCAAGTAATGGAACTAGGATTAGAACATAATCTTAGGTGCACACCTCAACAAATACTGGCCTTCTAGGAAACCAGAATGTATGGAGTAATCAACAACTCAGCTCCATTCTGTGGCAGTTGCCCTGATATCTATATCAGAACAAGGAAATATATTACACATGTGCACATACATATCAACTTTATATACCATGTGTAGCTCTCCAAAAAGAGACTGAGAACTAAAGCCCACAGTACACTTATCACACTTTGTTCCCATGCCTTTGCATTATCCCTTCCAGGGTGGTGGTTCAATCAAGACAAAAGGAGCGATGTGTTACTCATTCCATCGCAGACTCACTTAACACTGTTACTAAAAAGCAGATGGTATTCAAAAACGATTTATTGAATGCATGAAGAAAATGACACTAGAAAGGGCTTTATAAAATTGCAAAGTACAATTCAAGTTTTTATAACATCAACTTAATTATTATAAAGTTACATTTATTTTATATTTTATTTCTATTTATATATTTGTTACTTATTAAGAAAAATATAAATAATTATTATAACCATAATAGGAGCTATATAATACTTATCAAAGACTATGTGGCAGGCTAAAGGCTTTATTGCTTTATTTTAATCCTCATTACAACCCTATGAAGTAGGTATCATTATTGCACCCTTTTTATAGAAGAGGGCATATTTAAGGTCACACTCTAGGAACTGCTAGAGTAAGAATTTTGACTCAATTTTGATACTGAATTCCTTTTCTATATTGTAGAAGGGAAAACATTCTGTTAAGGAAGCATATGTTTCACATACCATAAAATTCACCAATTTACAATGTATAAGTCAGTGATTTTAGTATATTCACAAACTGTGTAACCATCACCACTATCTAATCTTAGAACATTTCATCACCTCCAAAAGAAATTTGGTATACATTAGCAATAGTATACACTATACAGACATAAAAGAAATGCAAATTATTTTAAGTAAAGCCACAGTTACATATATGTATGAATGGATATTTGATTCATCTAATGCAAAAGAAAATCGTGAGATGAATTTTAAAGGACAAAATACAAGTTGGTGGGCCTTCTGTGATTCTGCATTAGCAACATCACTTTGAGTAAGGCAAGTAATCAACAACTGAAATCTACATCCAACCCAGATAATTATGGGTCAACTTCTAATTTCAAAGACTAGGGACATTTTTGTATTCACAACCAAACAATAAGATTAGAAGGAAATATAGGAAAAATAGTGTACAATATAGCTTCCTTCAATATTCCCTTTCTCAGTGTCAAAGGGAAAAGCTGAGGAAATGACGCCACAAAAGCTTCAAAGGTATAGATTTGCTTTTTCAGCATACGTTCATGCACATTTTTGAAGAACTCACAGCCATATATTTGATAATTTACAACAGTCGTTAAAACATAATTTAATAAGTTCTGCATCTACCCTAAATAGTGAAAAGGCACTCACGGTGGGTAAAGGCATCTTCTTCATTTTCATCACTGTCATCAGACCGAGCTTTATAAGGAGGAGGGAGTTTCATCGGCGGTGGGGCAGTTCCTTGCCTCTGAAGATGCAAAATTTGAGAGAAGGGTTAAATGCTGTGTTTGTACAATGCTCTTCTTTCAACGACAAAAAGCATAAAAAGCCAGTCTGGAAATATTTAGACCATACCCAACTTCATTCGTATCATGAGGATTGTAAAACAAACATAATGTATTCTTTTATGTTTATGTTATAATATAAAAGTGACTCTGTGATATAAACACACTAATGCAGAAAAATAGGAATTTAAAAGCAAGTTTTTAAGACTGTTAGCTACCTAAAAGAATGCATTCCTTTCTCTAGTGAGAAAATCAGTTATTTGTATTTTATTTACATTGTGGAAGTTTAATTTTGTTATTAACCAGAAAATTCAAGTGAAAGACATTTCTAAAATAAATGTAAAAGTAAAAACTATCCATTGTATTAATTCTACAATGATTTAAACTTTTTCTTCAATTGTAGAAGTTACAGATTTTATTCTTTAAAAGACACGTGACAGACCAAGATTTTCTAACTGAAAATGTATTCATCTATAATTTATAGATGGTCAACACACACTTCAACATTTTCAAAAACAGATATCTTCATGGTGAATAATTATATCTGCATAAATATTCATTCAATTCACATATGAAATGATACAGCACATCAATATTTGGTTCATATACACAATTAAAGTAGAATTAAACTCTAGGATCAAATTACCTTCACAGAATGAAGACATTTTCTTGAACGATGGGAAAAATAAAACATGCCAAACTCAACGGTGAGACTCAAGCTGCTAAAAAGAATAGGAGCCGATATACCCAAGCACTTCACAAAAACCAAAATAACTGGATTATGCTACAGGATTTCAATAAAGTACATTCAATTATGCTTTATATGACAAAACCACTAATGGCAGGATACACTTCAGTAAGTGGCCAATGAGTGGTCCATTACAGAAAGCAGGCATGTAATAAATTCCTCCAAAATAGAAAACACTATTTGAGAGTCATAAAGGAAAGCACACACCCTTATTTACTTAAGATAATGCCGAACCAAAGCAGAAACTATATACACTTGTAGAAAATGCAAAAATCTATAAAATGCAAGAGTGATGACGGAAGATGCCAAATACAAAATGCCTCTTAGGCAAGAGGAGAATCCAGAAATGTGATCACTTTGTCTCTTTGATTGTTTTAAGTTGAAAAAAACTTAAAACTGAGTGAAATGAAGAGTAAAGGCAAATGAACTCTTTTCAGTAAACCTTTTCCTCAGAACCAGGATATTCTATATCAAAGACAATACTCAGAACAAAGACAGCCAGGTTTTAAAATAATATTCAGATGAATTCTCTTTAATGGAATTTTTTATGTCTAAGGCAACATTGTACAACTGATTTATTTAATTAGCTTCTACTGATATTCTTGAAAAAGAATACAGAATAAGCATGTCCTGGTCTCCTTATAATCTGAATGTGGATTGCCAGATACTGCACATGAGAGAAGGGTGTGTACAGGGCCAGGCTCTCCCCAGGTGTGGCAAAGGCAGCCGGAGCAAGGGATGTACTACCAGACCAGGTGATTATGACCTTCAGGAGGGTAAAGCACAAAACAGACTCTGTGGTATCCTCAACTCTGAGAACAGTCCTGGGGACACAGTAGGCCTCCCTGAACGATTTGCTGAATGACTAAACAACTGGTTGTCACTCGTGCTGTTTGGGTTCCCTGACGTATTATTAACCTTAGAAAAATGTCAGAGATGCAAATAATTCTTGCTCAATATCATTGCATATTAATTGTGTCTGGTAGAGATGCAAATGATTTTAGTCCTGTAGAAAAGATCACTTCAAAGGTTACAGTTTTATTGCCCTGTAAGACATTAACCAGTTTTTTATCTAAATCGGAATCTTAAGCATTCTTTCTTTTAGCACTCTCTTCAATAGCACTTCACTCTCTTCAATTCTCTCTGCACCAGGCTTACCATCCTATTGGTTCCCTCATTAATGAGTTAAATAAATACCTGGCACCTGCACATTTTGCATAATTTTCAGTCATGTTTTAATTTTTTTCTTAAATTATGCTTTGAATAGTTTTGGAGGTCCCACAGAGATGCTGAAGCAGACTCACCTACCAGAACCAATTAAATTGTGATGCCTCAGAGATGCAATTCATGAGCTGTTTAAGCCCATTTACATGATTTTTTGGCACCCACAGTCAATTCCAAGTGGCAACAGAACTTTGCTTTTTTGAGAGTTTCTCTGATTTTTATTTCCAGTTCTATGATTTTGTTTCCGATATGAGACCAACTTTGGTTCTGATATGTACTTGTAATTCCTCACTGATAGTAGAAATAAATGAAGTTTGGTTTTATGGTCTGACCATTTAGAGTTATTTGTTGGGATGAGAATCTATAATATATTGATTCTATAAAGATCTATTCTCGATTGGTTGAGAGACAACAGAGAATGCATTGTTTAGTCTTTTTGTGTGCCTGTCTGTCTTTTTGTACAAGACCATGTCTTGGGTCCACTGGAAAGAACAGCTCTTTGACAAAAAACCAGTGGGGTTTTGCATTCCTGTGTCTACATTCGACATATGGCTATAGCTGCAGGACAGAAGCTGAACACATTCTGTGTATCTGCACTGGAGAAAGAAAAGTCCTTACCTTTCATTTTGAGTGTGAAATATTTTCCTACCTTCAGAGCATATTAATAAATTAGATGTAAATTTCTCAAAATAAAGAATCTCTTTCTGATTGCTTATAGAAATGAGCATTATTTAAATGTAATAGTCCCAGAGTTTCCAGAAAATAATAGTTGACTAAAATTACATTACTTTAAATGTACAAGGCTTTTAATAATAATTTTAAGAATCTCTTTTTCACAAAAACCACAAACTCAGAATCATTTTTATGTAAGAATCCAAATTCACATAATCAAAGTTCATAACCTCTTGAAGAAAGAAAATATATGAAATAACACTGAAGACAACCTTAGAAAATAGCCAAGAGTTTTTAGGAACTTTCAGTTAATACTAGTATTTCTTTTTTGTTTTGAGACAGAGTCTCACTCTGTCACCCAGGCTAGAGTGCAGTGGTGCCATCTCGGCTCACTCCAACTTCCGTCTCCCAGGTTCAAGCAATTCTCCTGCCTCAGCCTCCCAAGTAGCTGGGATTACAAGCTTGTACCACTACACCTGGCTAATTTTTATATTTCTAGAAGAGATGGGGTTTCACCATGTTGGTCAGGCTGGTCTTGAACTCCTGACAAATGATCTTCCCGCCTTGGCCTCCCAAAGTGCTGGGATTACAGGCATGAGCCACTGTGCCTGGCCAATACTAGTGTTTCTATGAATCCTGATTGCCTATTCTTTCACTCTACATAATGCAAAACAGATCAAAAAATAGTAAACCGAGGCAAACTAGAATAAAACTAGAGACTTACGCAAGATCTGCTCATTGGTTTTTTGTTTAGTTTTTAGTCACTCTCTGTTTTTAAAGTGAATGATCTCAAACCAAACATAGACCTCGTTAGAAATGAGTTTCAGGTGATTTGTATTGTCAATGATTCTTGAGACCATGTTTTGCTTTTATACTAAGGAGAAAATAAGATACACAAAAAAACTTCTAGTGAGAATAATTTTTAAAGAGAGAGATTAGTCACCTGGCTTCCCAACCTTGAAAAGAGTATGCTCTCAAAGCATGCTGGGCACATTTTTATTTTCATACTAATTACATTCTCTTTATTTCACTCCACGTGGCACCCTGATCTGAATGCCTCTTATGGTGAAGGCGCCTTGTCATTCCAGAATGCAGTAAAATGCTTGGCATCTAAGATGCAATTTCAGAGAAAAGTAATACAGTAAAAAGAGCATTCAGCAACCACTAAAAGACCATCCTGTAATGAAGATGTAGATTCTGATTTGATTTCTCCTGTTGCCACATTAATGCAGTGGCTAGGTGTTTTTCTTTGTGACAAATAACTCAGTTGACTTTTGGTATTACAGGTTCCTACTGGGGTTTTTACTGAATGCAAATACCCTTGCCATGCATTGAAATTCAACTGGTTTAATGGAGCAGTCCAAAGTTGATAAGAATCACACACATACTTTTTTCTTTCCTGGGATCTTATGTGGAATTTTCCTGAACTGATTACATTATCTTGTTCCCAGATGTGGCTGGAGTAGCAACCAGTTCATTCACTTACGTGGTGTTCATTGTCTGTGTCCCCACGGAGTGTTACCTTATATGTTTCCTTTTTGATGTTATATCCCCAGATTGCTGCACAGTAACTGGTTAACTATAGGTAACCAATAAACACTTGATGAATGTTCACATCTTTGCATCAACATATGAACTGACAAAATTCCAGCAATAGGGTAGATTAGGTATTCTGAAGAACCCTTCTTAACCACATAAAAATGACAGATTAAAGTTTAAACAGTGCTTTTGTGACATGTGACTGAAGTCAGAAACAACTATAAATCCCAAATCAGGAGGTCCAGTGGAGCACTGGAAGGTGACACTTGCCTGGAGGGCATCTGCCAACCCTTGGAAACCTAAAGCCAGAGATCTGATTTGATTTTAGGATTCTTTATTCATTCAAGAAATATATATGATGCCAGGCAGTGTTCCGGGCAACAGAGGTAGAGTAATAATCCAACAGATGAGGTCCCTGCCCTCATGGAGCTTAAATTCCAGTCCCTTCCAAATGTCACATTTTGTGGGTTTCCATGTCTTGTCCCCAAATTACTTTAAAGTAGCAGTTACTGGCCAGGCATGGTGGCTCACATCTATAATTCCAGCCCTTTGGGAGGCCAAGGCGGGCAGATCACCTGATGTCAGGACTTCAAGACCAGCCTGGCCAACATGGTGAAACCCCATCTTTACTAAAACAATACAAAAATTAGCCAGGTGTGGTGGTGTGCACCTGTAGTCCCAGCTATTCAGGAGGCTGAGGCAGGAGATTTGCTTGAACCTGGGGGGTGGAGGTTGCAGTGAGCTGAGATTGCACTGCTGCACTCCAACCTGGGTGACAGA